CACTGATCATAACCATAAACAAGTATTACGTGACATTTTATAGTTTTGGATATATCTATTTATTTTCAATTTTGGCGTCAGTATTTTTCTTTTTCTTATCCTTTCTTCTCCTTCATTTCTTTTCTTCTCTTCCTCTACTGTTTATATTTCTTTTATTCTTGTACTCTTCTCTCGTGTCCCTTCTACTCTTCCCTCTAGTTCCTTCTTATTCTCCTTTTCTTTCCCTCTTTATTACCTTTCGTCTGGGCGGAGTCTTGAGGTTTACATACCAGTACCACCGTCACTTGCTGCCCTCGGTCTGCTGTATATCTGCACACCTTAGTGACAGTACAAGTTGATGCTTTTGATCTAAACAGTTGGAACTTCCTTCCACTTCTTTGGATAAAACATGCTTACCTATTATCACCCAAGCACTGTATGACCCTTGTGGTTATCTCTTTCCCATAATAATAATAATAATAATAATAATAATAATAATAATAATAATAATAATAATAATGTACTCTTGTTTTTCTACGTTCCGTCTCCGTATTTTGTTTCCTGCGCTCTTGTCTTTAGTCTATTCTTATTGTTTCCTCTACTTCTGTTTATATCGTCTTTTATTTATTTCGTCTCTTCTGTTTCTTTCTTCACCTTCCTTGTCTACTTATTTTTTTATTGCTGCTATATTTTCATTTTCATGGACTGGAACGATAAACACGTAGGGGTCATACTTCCTATTGTTCCTCTCGACTTCTCTCTTCCATTCGTCCCTTCTTGCTTCTATCATATGCTCTTCCTCTTCTAATTTCGTGTGCCCCTTTTATTTCCCCTCCCCCCTCTAACTAGGGGTGCAAGTCTTTTTTTCTCATTTTCATTTTTTTTTTATCCCTAGTGAATACCGACACGGTACAGTGGAATTAAGAAGCCGGCATTGTTGACTCGGCTCTGGCTGGAGGCCGGTGGGAGTGTGACATTGAGCTGAATTCATGGATGTTTATTTGGGAGTTTTGGCCATTTTACGCCCCTCAAGGAAGGTTCCTTGATGTTGGTGAGGGGCTCTTGATTTAGGAAATTGGATCTGTGCTCCAGTTCCCCGAATTAAGCCTGAATGCCTTCCACATCCCCCCCCCAGGCGCTGTATAATCCTCCGGGTTTAGCGCTTCCCCTTGATTATAATAATAATAATAATAATGGCCATTTTACTTTGGGAATGCACCTAAGGTCCCTAGATAATGGTATTGTTACTCAGATATCTGAAGCGTTAGCCAGTGCTAGCCGTACGGATTTGTCATTGCCAGGTGCACATATTGTAATTTGCGCATTCAGGAATTGATGCTGTTGTCAGTTACCTGCGTTTTGTCAGCTATGTGGGAATCTGTCATTGTCAGTGTAAATTAAAGAATTGCATAGTTTAATATGTTTTAATCTTTGTGGTTATTTGTGTACGTAAGTTTTTTTTATTATATTTCTGTAAATTTACAGAATGAAGTATGGGGGAGGGGAGTGATGAAGCATGCGGTTTAGAGGTGGTTTGTGGGTTTGTGAAGAGCAGTTAGGAGACAGTTGTCTGGTGAACAAGCTGGGAGTTAGTGTAGCAGAACAAGCCCGGCTTCCCCAGTCTGCCCTCTGCTGTCTCGCCGCTATGGAGGAAGTCGCTGCTTCTCTGGTTTGTTGCTGTTTATTTGTGACATAATTCCTTATCAAGCAAGGTTGAACAGTCACGAGGTTTATATTGTACATTCATCGAGTTATTATTATTAATAATGGAAGTGTCGAACCCATATGGATCATAGTGTTTTGGGAATGGTGGAACGTAATTCCGAATTTCCTGGATCAATAGTTCTTCACAGGCGGGAGGTATATATTCTGAAAGTGCTTTAATTCTTGTTTTAGGGATTAAATATTCTCGACTAGTTGTGCACGGGTAAAATTCAGCTTTGATTGTCGTATGGTTGGTAACACCTAACAAAACAACCACCTGACACGTAAGTGTGAAATATCTTGGGCTGCTAAGTATGCGAACCGTAATTTCTAAAGTGTGTAAAAGTTGTGGGTCAAGTGCATATTGCCACGTATGTGTTGCAGTACTCGAGAAAGGTGTCTCGGAGCCGATGAAGGAATTGGAGCTACCCTCTTTCCTCGCATCAAGAACTTCCCATTCCCAAGGACGTATGACCCTTACGAATTTAGCGGTCATCCATGGGAGAAATGTAGTGGCAGGTAAAGTTGGTAATGTAGCAGGTTGATCTCGAGCTTCGAGTGGCATCTCTTACAAAAATTACAGAACGCTTGCATGGCACAAAATTTAAATGTTGGGTTCTAGTCATACTTTTTAATTTGTACGTATTCCTGCATTTTCGTTTCTCAGATTATTTGTTTACGGCTTCCATGTACAAAGATATACCAGTTGTGTGCTGTTTGACCCCCGTACGGATTTAGCGCTCCCCTTTGATGTGCTGGACGAGTTATTAAGTCTGAAATCAAACTCAAAGAAAATTTAAATCAAATAGCGTCTTTTAAATTGTTTGAGAAGGCAGTACTGTACAGTATTCTAATAGAAGTACAGGACATATTGTACACTGGTATCAACCAAGCTAAATTTAGGGTATCTTACTGATGCTTAATTCCTCTTGCGGACTGTCTAAAATAATAAATACCATGGGCAGGTAACCTTTGACCTAGCGTGACACTGATTCCTTAAGTATTTGTGAAAGAATGCAAGATATCGAAATAAGATCCATAGTGGTGGTCTTGATACCATGGTAAAATTTACCGACAGTATGTAAAAAGACTCGACGTGGATTGTGGCATTTAATTTGCGTGAAATAAGTTTTTTTAAAATGCCATAATCTGAATATTGTCTTGTTTACTTGTAGGGACAAGTTCAGCGTTTCCTCCTAAATATAATAAAAATGCCAGGCGTTACATGACCCCCACGGGGTTTTGGCGCGTCTGCGTGTAACATATAATGACGTAAAAGTAGTGTAGTAGTCTTGTCTAGACGAGATTTATATAACCAAAATCTTTTCTAGTCTAAACCAGCAGAGGTTCTGTACCTGAGTTTGTATGGATGATGTATATTTTATAAACATAAAGATGTTAAAGGTGCCCAAAAGATTCATTCTGACTTTCGTTATTGTGGTTAAATCAGGATTGTGGAAAAAGAAAAGGTAATTGGTTGTCCTTCTCCTCAAGTGTATATTTGAGGAGGACAAACCCATTACCTTTAATCGACGTTCTCCTACTCACTGGTGGAAAACACTTTTAAAGTCTACCGTAAACCTACCTACAAGAACGATCTACATTTCTTCTTACCATGACACTAGAACTAAGAGGGGTAGTTATTGGCTTCTTTCTGAGAGCCTACAGAATTTCCAGTCTGTAGTTCTTCGAAGAATGCACATGCATCACCCATTCTTTTAGTTGACTACACTTTCCCTTACACTTCATACGTGACTGCATGAAATGTGCGACACGTATCCTCAACAAGACCAACACCATTCAAGTTGAAGAAAGACCTCAAAGTTGCATCGTTTTACCGGTCAGCAACGTTGCTAGTAAAGTTTCAAAAATGTTTGGCAGAAAACTGGCTAAAATTTCTACCAGTTCACCAACTATTAGGAACCTAATACAAAAACCCAAGCATGATTCTGGCACAGGTACAGGAATTTACACTATACCATGTGGGGGGTGTGACAAAGTATATATAGGGGAAACTGCCAGATCTCTGGACATTAGGATCACCGAACACGAAAAATGTGTGCAGAAATGACCGTAAAAACGCGTGTATTCAACATAGGGACGCTGTTGGATACCTCATGAAATTCAGTGAGGCTAAACTAGTGATTAAAGAAGATTTGAGACGGAGAAAATGCATAGAAGCTGCCCTAATTGCCGTCAGTAACACTATAAAGCAAAAGTCCGGTAGTTACAGCATCTCAAAATTGCTAATCAGCAGGATATTACCCATTCTGGAAACTAACATGTCAACAGGTCCCTCTGTAGCATCAGTCTCGCCACCTTAGTTCCATGACTACTACTACCACTACCACCTCTACCCACACGACACTTCACCTGACTCGTGCCACTATATATACTCGTTTTCTTAGTTTTCTCTGTATTAAGACTGAAGAAGCCACTCGTGGCGAAAAGTTTCCTTTAATAAATATCCTGAACTGTACACGTGTCTTTTTCCACATTTCGGTATCACCATACCATTTCCTCTAAATCAGGATTACTTGCAACCATTTTACGCCTGCAAGTATATTCATGGGAAACCTAAACCCACAAGGTTAATTCCGCAAGTAGGTAACTGGGGAGAGCAGCCCCAATTCTTTGGATTAAGAGCCCGTCACAAGCATTAAGGCACTTCGCCCCCCATTCCTCTCATTGAAGGGTATACTTGCAGGAAAGGAAATTCGACCCCCCATTAAGACTGAAATATTTGTAACCTCAACATGGACAATGCTATACAAGAGATTAAAGCTTTTCGCAATTGGTTTCAGCAGGCATGTTACGCAGAAACCCCTTCAAATGAAGCGTCATGATTCTATTCAAAAGAATGAATAGTTCCCCTTCAGATCAAACCTGATTTCGTATCATTCCCCAGGTGTTGTACGACCTCCAACGGGTTCAGCGCTTTCCCATGTATACATAGATGATATATAATATTAATTTGAAGGAACCATTCTTAATTGCATTTCGTTCGGCTTTGCTTACCATGTCTTCAGATTTCGCGTTCTACTTTGAAGACTGTGAAGGTAGACTTCATTGACTGTCTGCTAGTGGTATCGTCTTGAAAGGCTGTGTTCGTGTTTTGATCATTTTTATAGTTGAAACAGTGATTTTTAATGACTGAGGGATGAAAAACTCAAATTCAGAGGCACAAAACGCGTAATTAAATATCAGCGTAAGTTATACTCCTTAGTAACATTAGATGCTTTAATAAGTTTTTATTGTATGAAATAGGTAGTGGTGGTGAGTATGACTTTTAATAGTGAATTGTTTCTGCTCGCCAGATGTCTCGTCTGAATGGCGTGAACGGCTTTAACGGGTGCGAGCTGAACGGCACCACTACCGGCTCGGGCTGCTGGACTATCGGTCTCATCAACGCCAAGGCAAAGTATCTCACTGCAGAGACGTTTGGATTTAAGATAAATGCTAATGGTAAGTTCATGCAGTTTATTTTAAATTAGGGTAATGTAAATCAGACCATTCTATAATTGTTTGAGTAACTTTATTCTCCTTCCCCAGTGATTTTTTTAAGTACTAACTTGACCAATCCTAGCCTGTAGTATATTCTGAGAGCCACAGCCTCCGTGGCCTGGTTCCAGACGCTTGCTTAGATTTGCGCAACTTAGTCACTTAACGTAAGACATTTATTTTTATTTTTTCTTTGGAAGGATAAAGCTTAATTTTTGTTTAATTGGATGTTCTTATTTGTGGGTGGGGGGATAATACAAATTTATGCATTCGCAAAATTATCAGAAAGCGTTCGTATAATCTTAGCATGAAGTACGATGTGTATTTTTTTTTTGTTACAATGGAAGTTTTTTTTTTTTTTTTTGTTAATGAAATGTATGTCAATTATTGCTAAGAAATATGAAATTGATACTAAGCGTACCATCATAAATCTTGTTACTGTCTACATACCCCCTCAGGAACTTTGATATGGCATCACATGCTGGGCAAAACTGCAATAGTTAATCTTCATATCTACCCTACAGAATCGAAAATCGAAATCTCTCTAGTCTCAAGTAAACCTTTTTGTATAGTTTTTTTTTATATATTTTTATTTAAAAAACACAGTATACATGTATGTTATACATAATTGACAAAAACACAGTATAGATGTGTGATATACAAAATTGATTTTAAAACAAGAACCGTGAAAGCTTTATGTAAGACAACAATATATATAACCAAACAGAGAACTATCGGAACATACCTTAAACACCAAATAAATATATAACCAAACCTGACAGTCGTATTCATATTGTGTATGAAATTTTATATACAAAAGAATGTCATATAAACTAAAGCATTGCGCATTCAATGGTGCTATGGACATATAATAATTTATGTACAAAAACAATATCATAGAAACTAAAACATTGCACACTCACTAGTACTTTGGTTATATTAAATAACTATCAGAAAACAAACATGACTTGAAATTAAAAACCTGGTGTTATTTATTTTTGGTTTTTGCATGTATTGAAAAAGGAATCAAAATATATAAAAATCCTTTAATAATTAACATTAAGACTTTACAGATCTTTTTTTTTTTGTATATTTTTATTAAAACATAGAACAAATATAGTAAGTATAAGAGTAAAATAAAAACCATACTAGATATTACAAAACCTCTAAAACACAATCCTGATACATTTAGAACACCATAGATCATGGCCATATTACAACCATATACATAACCCACAACCATATACATAACCCACAACCATATACATAACCTTCAAACCCTCCTTTACAATACTCATTATTGCCATTGCAGACACAGCTGACACTTCTACCCCCCCCCCCGTATGTACAGTCACCGTTCTATATAACATACATTAATTTCCCTAATGAATGGTCATTGATAACAATTTCTACTAAAATAACCCAACCAACCAACTTCCAAACAAAAAAATCGGGGTCATTATAAGAAAAGTGGGAACGAGTCCTACAATCATATATATATGTATACATATACGCATGCATATACACACATGTGTATGTGCACTTATTCATAAGAACAAACTGAATCATACATAGAAATAAATCGCTAAATGACTTGTCTGCAAATAAACAAAAAAATTACATTCAATGATAGAACTATACCTAAGACATTTGGGTCCCACAAACACACCTACACACACACAAATTAATGTTACCGATTAACACTCGATATATAATAGGACCTTCCATACAAAATAAGGTATATAAAACCCCATCAAATACTTATATATTTTCGTACATATGCATAAAGTACCCATTCAATACGATAAAAAGAGACGGATGAAAAGGGCTAAATCTATCATCAGATTGAAAATATATAAAACATAACCTCACAATATTATTTTAAATCTAAACCTCCTATATCAAATGGTTCTTTTTGACAATAAGGGAAAAAATCGAAAATCACATACAACTTTTGACTCTGGATTTTACAAATTCATAAGGTCTACATACTCCGGAGCCCCCAACGCTCCCTACAAATAAACTTACCCACACAACCACCTGCAAACCAATCAACCTTCCTCATCGGGCTTCCAATCACTCAAGAGGACGCACCACTGAAGAGACCAACCCCTGCCTCTCACCCATACCCAAACGGAGTAAAAGTTCAACAGTAAGTCCACGATAACCCTCCGGAAAACTAATTACCCACCTTCCCCCATATAATTGTTTATTCCTACATGCTGTCCTATAAAAACTCGCCGCCAACGCTTTAATTCCTAATGTTCCCCTCCACCTCCCTCATCCCCAAAAAACCCTACAAGTAATCAACTATTACGTACTGATAGCCCCTTCCCACCCTCTTTGGGTACCCCTCCCATATCTAACATTAAAGCCCTAAGGGGTGATATGTCCCCCCCCCAATAAAAAGAAAACCCTCTTCAACCACAATCTTACCACCCCAATGCAGAACAAAAATATACTACATGAAAAGCCGTTCAACTTCCCCACAAAAACCACATGACGCCTCTCACAAAACCCATTCGTTTTAGCACCTCTTTCGATGCTAACGTCCCCAAAAAGAAATCTATATACTAATTCCTTCGCTCTTGCCGGTATTTTTAAATTTACTAAATTCCACCCATATCACACTCCAATCATATGGGGGATAAACTGCCATCCCTTGCATTAATTTCCTGACGACGACCCACACCCACTAACCGTTTTACCTTGAGTTTTTAACATTGAAATACCTTTAACATAAACCCCCAACATATCTTCACACCCACTAAGTCCCTGCCACCCCACCATTTGCGGATATCCCCCATCACCTCCCCCCCCGAAGACCCCTTTTTCCCCGCGCCCGAAAATAACCTCTGCTTCACATATAGCGCCTTCACCCTAGACCCTAATGCAATCAATCCCAGTCCTCCCTGCATTAACGCATCATTACTACATCTTTGCCCAACCACGCCCTCCCAAAACCCCCCACACATACCTTAAGACTCTCTTTGCATTTCCATAATATCCTGACTTCGTAATGGTAAATTTCCTCCGCCACTCCCCACACCTTACTATAAATCAGCGTTTTTACCACCACAACCCTTTGATGCAAGTTACATCCCCGGGCCCTTAAACCCCTGAGCCACTCAAAGCTCTGTCCATTACCATTTCTGAATTAACCCTCCTGCTCTCCTGTGCATCTGCCAAAAACAAAATCCCACAAATCTTTAGCCTATCTACAGTTATCCAACCAAACTCCTCCCCCAAGGTCCCTCCTACCCAAGCGCCTACCTCCAGCAACCGTGATTTCTGCTTATTAACTCTCATCCCCGTAGCATTCCCAAAAATCTCAATTATCCTTCCCACTTTTCTTAAATCTTCTATCTCATTAAGTAAAACAGTTGTATCATCTAAAATAACCAACAATATTCCCACAATATTCCTCCACTCTCCCCCATCTTCCCATCCCACCATCAACCAAACATAGAAAGAATTCTGCATACATGCAAAGAGTATTTGGGAGAGTGGACACCCCTGCCTTAAACCCCTCCCCATGCTTACAGACTACCCAACCTCCCATTTTACCTGTACCTCTTTAATGCATTCTCATACAAAGTCCTCACCCATCCAACCACCCCCCCCTCCAAAACCCATTCTCACCATACTCCAATCAAAAATTTTCCCTATCCACATAATCATAAGCTTTCTCCCAATCCAGACCTAAATAACCTACCCTCAAAAAATCCCGAAAAAGACCATGACCTAACCCGCATACTCCTCCCCGGGATACCAAACTGTCCCCCATGTATCACCGACCCCATGACCTTCTTCAGTCTATTACCCAAAATTTTCGCAAAAACCTTGTAATCCCGCACATCAAAGATATTGCACGGTAAGCACTCAACTCTCTACCCCCCCTCTCTTTGGCACCAAAACTAATGACACCCTAACTTTGCGATGTGCCCAACTTCCCACAAGTTAACATAGGGTCCAATAGCCTAACAAAACTGCCTAATACACCCCCAATGTGTTCTATAAAAATCATTTGGTATACCGTCTATCCCTGGTGTTTTCCCGGTACTCATCCCGAAAACTGCCTCTTCCACCTCACTTATACCAACCTCCAACCCCACTCTATCCTGCTCACTTAAAACGCTATGGAACCCCCCTTCAAAAATACCCTCCCGGGAAAAACCCCCCCCCCCTCCAACTCCATTTCTCACCTAAACCAACTATCTGCATAAAGACTCATACTTTCCGTATTGGATAGGACTCGACCCACTGGATACCCTCCCACCCCAGGGCTTGTCTCCAAATTGTAGAATGGTGGTTACACTCTGTCGACCCCTAATTTACGTAAAACATACCCAGACGCTTATCACCCCCACAAAACATCCTCTAACCCCGCCCTAACCCTAATTGCATCAAACCTATCATTGTGTAATTCAGTGATTCTACTCCGCAGACTGCCCAAATTTCATCCCTCCTACCACCTCCCCCAACATAACAATCTTGCAACTGTCCCTCCAGATAATTTTGAAACCCCAAAAAACGCCACCTCGCCTCTTCTCGTCCCCTTACCTTAAAAAAATTCGCTATTCCAGGTTGGCCTGCATTTCCCCACAATCTAACAGATCTATCTCCCTGTCCCTAGCCCCCCAAAAAAGGCAACCACCAATCACTGAAAAAAGGCCCCTCCCCCTCCTCCTTAAGAAGCCTTACATTTAATTTCCATACCCAAATAAATACCACCACTCCATCCCACATCAAATCTGCTATTACCGCCCTGTGATCAAAAACCCCACGTCAAGGGTTTGCACCCTCACAACGTCCATTCCCTGCTTAATGTAGATTCTGTCCAATCGCGCTTCATATCCCCAAACAGAGGAACGTGTGCTCCACTAGGTATCCCCCCCTCCCCACCACATCTACAACCCCAATATCTCGCAATACACCCCCTCAGAACACTCGACACACAACCC